TCCTGTTGGTTTATTCTGAAACGTTACATAGCAAGTACTTTTTCCACTGAGGCATAGTTTCTAATTCTGTTCCAAGTTGTCAGGTGCTGCTTCCTTAGACTCATACATACTAATTCTTAGCACAAGGAATTTCCTCTTCGCTTCAGGTATGTTTTATCATTTCTGGTTCCCTTGTAATCTCTCCTTCCCCAATTCCTGGAAAATGTGATCAATAGACAATTCTTCCTTGTGCTGTTTCTGGTTTTGAACATTATTAATAAAAAAAATTAAGTATAATTTTTTTTGGCTTCAAGATATCAAAGTTTTGCTTTATTTGTCTATGTTCTTCCCAACTTTTTGACATATGCCTAGTCATTTTTCTTAATAAAATTTCTCTGAGAAGTTCAAATGGAAGATATTTAGATCCCTGACAGATAAGTGACTTTGTCCTGACCAGTGTTTCCCAGCTCTGAAGCTGATAGCCAATATTAAGAAATAGTTACAATAAAATTCTCCAAATTTTTTAATTTTATCTATGTTGGTATTTAACCTATTTTATTTACTTTTTAATAATATGGAGGGCTTATATAAAACATAGAAGCTAGTAAGTCAATTGGCTCTGTACATATATGGGTTGTGGTCTTATTTAAATCATAATGCAAAAGGTATTTGTCCACTAGACTGTTATTAATTACGGAGTCACTTAGGAAAAGTGTAAAATGTAATTATTAACCTTGCGTTTTAATGAGAAATTGTGCAGTGCTTCCTGGGGAGCACAGCTAATAAGCATAGCACTTCAATTTCTAATGGTAGTAGAACATCAACTCTGTCTCTTATTATTCAATTTCAAGAGGCAAACAGCAATAATGTTAGAGACGGATGGGCGTGGAATTTTTGGAGATGACTCCGTTGCATACCTAGAATTAATTTTTAAATTCTGTACTAAAGGCAATAATTGCTTTCTGTATAGGAATTGGTTGAATAGTTCCTAACTCTTTTAGGGTTATTTCCTATATTTCTAAGTTTTTGGTGGTATGTTTTCTCATATTGGGAGCTTCAAACTATTGAGAACATGCTTCCAAGAAAGGTAATAGGCATATCTATTTATCAATTCAGACTTTTTAAAATTATTGTTACATCCATCTTTATTATAATATATCTTCCCAAATTACAGAATGATATACTGACAGTTGAGCTCTTTATCTCACACAGTTTTTTCCTGTATAAAGATGAGTGAAGAACCTGTAATTTATACTACACTAAGCCAGCAGAAGCACACACCAAAAAATAATATCAAGCATAAATTTAGATCAAATGAATTGCCATTAACTAAGGAGGAGCTGAAACACCAGAAATCTTGTAAAAAATGGCACAAAAACAGAGCAGAAGATGTCAATGGCCAAGGTAAGATACATTAAAGTAGAGTTTTTCAGTAAACATGTCAGGAATGCCTAAAATTGTGTACTGACCTATGCTGTTTACTAGGGAGGTACAAAAATATAACAGTTTCTAAATCTAGTTAGAGAAACTATCCAAGCCAAAATTTAAATATCAGTTTAATGCAGATTATGACAAAGACCAAATGGTAACTACTATAAATAATTTAAAAGATAACTTGGAATGTTTAGAAATTTCACTGCTAAAGTGAGAGTTAAATTAGACTTTAAAAGAATACAATTTGAATAGAAAAGGTTTGGAAAGTAATTTCCTTGAAACAACAATGCTAGGAGTGCAAGTATGGAAACGTTGCTAGCCGTGGCCATTTGAGAGGACTGAGCTGAGATACCTTGTTCTGAAGCCCAAGAATTGTGTTGTGCGAGAGGTAAACATGCTGTTGGACTGAATGATCTCTGGGCTGGAGAGTGGCATACGGCTTAGGCCATGATTTTTGACGTAATTATTTCCTGAAACAAGCAAAATGTAAATATATTGCTTTTAAATTTGGAGCACAAAATAGTCGGGTAATAGTAAACATAATAATTAAACAGTAGGTGTAATAAGGTTTACTGATGTTAAGTTAAAGTTGCAGCTTAGGTTGTTGCTTGTTTCTGGAACCTTGAGACTGATTGCCACAGGCTTGTCTTTTCCAAACCTAATGATCTTAGGAGAAAGAGACAAAGCTTACCTGTAGGCCGGTGAGCTTTCTGAAATGGCAAAGACTAATCCCACAAATTTCCAAAAAAGTTGGGTTGTTTTGGGAATGATTGTTTTGTTTTTTGGTCCTTTTTTTTTTTTTTACAAAAACACGGGCATTTTTTGTAAGTTTACTTGAAAATGATAATAAAATTCTAAATGAATATTTCTCTTTTAAAGAAAGAGATTGTAAGTAATAGTTATATTCCTTGTTAATTACATAAATACATGTGTATTAGGAAAAATGTTAAAAATACAGATAAGTATATATTTTAGTAATCACCCATGAAGCTATTTTCTGTCATATAAATATATATGATTCTAGATTTATAGTTTTATCTTCTTTATATTTATAGCTTCCATTTGGTATCATATAATGAACTTCTCCCATATACTGTATGGTTTTATTTATATGAAGTTTAAATTGAGCAAAATTATTTGGTAGCAATAGAGATAACGACAGTGGTTACCTTTTGGTCCTGGGAGGGGCCCTGTGGGAAGCTTCTATGTCACTGGTAATGTTCTATATTATGATTAGGGTGATGGATACACAAGTGTGTTCACCTTGTGAAAATCCGTTGATCTATATGCTTATGATATGTGAACATTTCTATATGTATTCTATACTTCAGATATTTACTTAAAAAGAAATTAAAAAATAGAAATTATAGGGGCCGGCCCGGTGGCATAGCGGTTAATTTCACATGTTCCGCTTTGGTGGCCTGGGGTTCACCAGTTTGGATCCTAGGTGTGGACCTACTCACCTCTCATCAAGCCATGCTGCAGCGGTGTCCGGCATAGAAGAACTAGAAGGACCTACAACTAGAATATACAACTATGTACTGGGGCTTTGGGGAGAAAAAAGAAAAAGAGGAAGATCGGCAGCAGATGTTAGCTCAGGGCCAATCTTCCTCAAAAAAAAATGAAAAATAGAAATTATATGTAGTAGTTTGGGGTCTGTAGGACTGTTGATGTCAATTCTTTTTCTTTGTGAGTCAGTGAGAGTTTTTTTCCTTTTTTTTGCACCTTTTACCATATTCTAACTTTTTATGTATTAGAATCTGTTTCAGGGACATCGATTTCTGTTATATCTATCTCTTTAAAAATCAATCTTGCTTATTAAGACTATTTAATTTTAATCATGGACAGAATGAGACCCTTAATTAAATTTCAAAATTCTCATTATTTGTTTCATTTGCCTATTTTCCAAAAGTACTCTAGATCTGCTTAGTTGAGTTCCAGAACAATTCCCACTGTCATTTTTTAGACTAAATTTTATTTACTCATATAATTTAATTTGAGAAAGCTAACATTTTTATAGTAGTCTTTCCAATTATAAAAATAATTTGTCCTTCCTTTTAATAGATTCTTTTAATAGAATCTCACAGAAAGATTGTTGTTTTTCTACCTTGTAGCAAGATTAAATGATATTTCTCAAACTCCTGAATTTGAATTCCTAAGCATAGTTCTATCACAACTGCTATTGTACCTGATAGGAACACATGGGTGATGTATGCTGTAGAAGAGGTCAACTAAAGACAGCTTTTATTTTCTGCCCTAATGACTTGGAAGAAGCATGCTAAGTCATAAATCTTTACCTAGTTGGGCTAAACACAAGTAGCCTGAACAATGCCTCCTTTATTTTGTGTTCTACCTTGTTCTGTGCTGGTGCTTGGTTCTGTGAAGTGAGGGAGAACTTCAGTGAGGGACAGTCTTTAGACTATGTTTTCTGCTACGAGAGAGAATAAAGTGAGGTATGTGATCTAATGGGACTTCAAATAGATTGAAACCTAAAGAGATCATAATCCAAAGAGACCACCAATAAAATGGAACCTAAGCGTTTGACATATTCCCCTTATCAAAACTTTTTAGTTTTTTAGTCCTTTGATCTTTGCTCATTTTTCATGGGAGAGATGACATAAGGGTAATGGTGGCTATTTGCAAAAAAAAAATACTAGTGCTGAAAATGGGAGAAATTGACCAAGAATAATAAAATATCTGTCAAATGCCACTGAGAATCAAAGTGAAGTTTGAGACCCTGATGTGAATTAGCACCACACTGGTTTGACTTCCTTCATCAGATATGTGTACCCCAGATACAGAAAGAGAGAAGGTAGAATTTAATTCAGCTGAGTCTAACAGTTAACTAAGCAGATATGGTGGAAAATGAACGGTTAGTGGCAATACAGTCATTCAGATGACTACTATTAGGTCTAGGTTGGGTGGTTAAGGCATGGCAATAATGATGAACAAGGAGAAAATAAGTTAAGAGATGAATGTCTTAATAATATTGAGGAAAAAATTCAGTGGGAGAAGGAAAGTTAGTGTGAAAAACAAAAGTGTTCCTCACAGATTATTTTTTTAGATATTAAATGTTCCAAAGTTGCAATGACAAAATAAGCTATCATTTTGTCAGTTTAAGAAGGGTAGAAGGAAGAAGAAGGGTGGAAGGAAGAAAAATAAACAAATGAGTAATTGTTTGACTTCCTAATTTAAAATGTAGCCACTTTTACTTTTCATATAGGGAAGAGCTCAGTACCTAAATGAATCAATTGCCATTCTGATTTTGGATAGTTTCTTGCTCTGTTTATTTATTATTTGATCCTTATGGGGGAGAGGGATGACAGAGAGTAGGATATGGAGGCAGAATTTGTGAATTAGGGACTCCGTTCTTCTGTTAATTGACTGTTACCTTAGACAAATAGCCTATGTAAAAAATGAGATTTTTTACTTCAGTTATTTCATAACTATCTAAAATTGGGTAAAAATATTTCACAGGCCTGTGAGGATCAAGAATTAACAAATATTTTAATGCATTCTTAACTGTAAACTACTCTACAAGCATTGTATTTATTATTTATCCCGTCATCTTGCTCCAACTACTCAGGAAACTCCTCACCTCTTCCCTGGAGGCTTATTTCTGTAGTGTTGGGCATCATGTGCCTTCTCCTGATGGCCATAGCCACTGCAGTGGCTGTCTTGACTGCAAACTGTAAGTAACTATCGTGTCTTTTAAATTGTCCTCCCCTTTGGGAGCATTATTTATTTCATAGAATGTGTTAAGAAGATACTAGGCTCAGAACAATTTTACCTCATCAAAATTCTTCCTTTTTATTTCCTTTAAAGTTGCTGATTTACTCTTATAGAATATAGCCTTTTAGTATTTCACTTTGATGTTTCAATTTCAAGGAAGATCTAATTATGATATTTGCCTGTTTTTGTAGCATCTTCCAAAGAATCATCTCTCACAATCCAGCAAAAAGGTAGGCAATGGTTTTATACCCTAATGTCTTATGCTGGTTTAAGCAGCAGTGTGTTATTTGTATCAGCTCCACAAACATAGAGCCTTTACTAGGCACGGTATTCTAGAATGTGTAGTAGAAAATATAAGACATAGTCCCAGACGTTAAATAACCTAGAGTCGTGAAGTAGAGGTTTATGTATAACTAACTGCAGTATAAGAAGACAGAGGTAAGGTTTTTTTAGAAATTCTTATAAGATTTCATAGGTTTGTATGGAAGTAGAAATAATTAATGTGAGAACAAATTTTGGAGAGGTAGAGTTTGTATTAGAAGGGCAAAATTTCAAAAAACCTTAATCTAATGGTGACGTATGGTGAAGACATTCTAGCTCCTAAGTGCTATAATGGTATGGGGGTAAGAAAACTAATGGTTTGGCCACTCCTTAGATGAATAGATACTAGTTGACTTGTGTTATATGATATCTATAGGAGTTAAAATGTAGCAGCAAGTTGAGAGAAAAATAAAAACAAAAGTTTTTATTGATAATTCATAATTTTGTTATAACTCATTTTTGTTTCTTTACATAATGTTACTATAATGACAAAAAGTGTACTTCTGCTTGCAAGATGTGTTTTAAAAAAATAATAAAATCAGACTTTGTGAATTTGGTCAATGCAATGATAGAGAGTCTTTGTCTAGGACTTGGTTGTCATTCTTGTCCCAAGAACTGGGTTTGGTTCAGATGCAGCTGTTACTACTTCTCCAAGGAACGGTTAACATGGAGAGAGAGTCAACGTGCCTGCTCGTCTCTGAATTCCAGTCTCATAAAGATAAACAGGGAGGAGATGGTAAGTTGTTATTTTAACTGAGTGTCATAATTGCATGTGAGATATATCAAACTGATTACCTGAATTAAACTGAGGAGTCATTTACATTTACCTGTCTTCAGCACTAGACAAACAGCTGAAGGATATAAATAGTTTATCTTTTGTTTCCAGTTTGACCTGCAAAATGTGGCATAGGATCTATATATTGTGTAAAAGGAAAAGAAATGTTTTGAAATAATATTTAGAATGCCCTTTATGAAAAAAAAATTGTATAAGGAATGAGTTTAGAAGAAGATAGTTATTACAAAGACAACCTCAGTCAGAGAGAAAAGAACATGGTATAGCCCAGCACCAAGATGATATAGCCTTGTGGCCCAAACGCTAATATCATTATGTGATCAGTGAATCAGAATCTAGAACACTATGTGAGAAGATGGGAGAGCTTTCCCTAACTCCAACAATGTACATCAGCATCGAGTTAAAGTACCCACTGTATAAGTTCTCCTGATAGAGAAGATTTTGTCTATCATGCTCCTGAAGAGAGAGGAGATACACACTGGGGGTAAAATTAATCTTCAAGATGTCTCTGAGGGTACTGCTATTCTTTTAAAAAGCTCGCTCGGGCGGGCCCGGTGGCTTAGCAGTTAAGTGCGCGCGCTCCGCTGCTGGCGGCCTGGGTTCGGATCCCCGGCGCGCACCTGATGCACCGCTTCTCCGGCCATGCTGAGGCTGCGTCCCACATACAGCAACTAGAAGGATGTGCAGCTATGACATACAACTATCTACTGGGGCTTTGGGGGAAAAAATAAATAAATAAAAAAATTAAAAAGCTTGCTCCCTTTTACCCTAAACCAACACTATCTTTTTACTCCTATTTATTTGTTTATTTTTTATACCTCCTATGAGAGCAGGGAATTTGTGTCATTCATTGCTGTATCATTAGCATCTTGGAATATAGCATGCATTAATGAGTTTGTGTACTGGATGAACTGAATAAATATAAATATGATGTTGACTTTTTTAAGTTACTTCCATACAGTTGATGAAAAGATAATAATGGAAACTTCTTATTTGCATGTATTTGTTTACCACTAGAATTTTTTCTCTTTAAAATCTTTCTTTTGGATTGGAGTCTACCATAATGGAATTGGCAAGCACTGGCTATGGGAAAATGATTCGGTTCTGTCCTCTGATATGTAAGTATCTGCCTGACATAATGCAACTTTCTCTATCCTTGGTTTAATTGCTGCATTTGCCCAAAATAACAGAAATTAAGAGAGCCGGAGGGATAATTTCAAGGATATTTAGGGAATTGAGAAAAGAGACAGTAACTTAAATCCAATCCCATATACAGTATTATGGACTCCTGAAGAAGATAACATAACTCACTGTCTTCATTAGCCCTCTCCTGAGACTTTTTCTTATGAACTGTATCAGTTGGCTAGGGCTGTCATAACAAAGTACCACAGACTCGGTAGGTTAAACAACAGAAATTTATTTTCTCACGGTCCTGGAGGTTAGAATTCCAAGATCAAGGTGTTGTTAGGGTTGGTTTCTTCTGAGGCCTCTCTCTTTGGCTTGCAGCTGGCTGTCTTCTCCCTATGTCTTCACATGGTCTTCCCTCTATACCTGTCTGTGCCCAAATTTCCTCTTCTTATACAGACACCAGCCATATTGCGTTAGGACCCACCCTAATGACCTCCTTTTACCTTAATTATCTCTTTAAAGACCACTTGTCCAAATACAGTCACATTTTGATGTACTGGGGGGTAGGACATCAACATATGCATTTTAAGAGGATGCAGTTCAGCCCATAACACAAATCGTGGCTTAAAAGTCTGCTAACTTTCTCGCTAACCACTTTGGTCTATAAGACCTCACTTCTAGGCCATTGATATATTCTTAAAGTCTTCCTGCTTTTTTGTATTCTACTTATTATAAGCCTAAATACTATGGAAACTAAAAATGTTTTTTTCTCCACTGGAAAATTTTCATAGGCATGTTATTCATAGGGTTTTTATTATTTTATTTTTAATTTGTCTGTCTACTGTTACAACCAATGATAATCAGCACACTTTCCTTCCTCTTGGACTCTTATCCTTATCTTTAGTTGAATTTTTGTTAATATTTAAGGTTCTGTAATCTATCAATAACTTAAATTTGTAAAGATCTTATTTATCTGTACTACTAATAGAAATTCAATTCTATTCAATTCTATTACATATAAATTATGTTTTTAAAATTTATATTTAAATTGAAAGTTTTATATTTCTTCTCTTTGGTATTTGCATGTTATAGAATTCCATGAAGACTGTGACATTTCTTCTGTTTTAGGTTTTATCCTCCTACACCTGAAAAAGGACAACTCTGTCTATCTTACAAATCAAGAGAAATTTATTTAAGTGAAAACTGTGAATTTAAACAAACCTACATTTGTAAGAATCACCTTGTTTATTCTATAAATTCACTGGAAAGATGAAAAGTACTTTTATCTAACCCTATGTGTTGATAGCATTGCCAATGTTTACTTTCTTGTGCTATGGAGAAAATATGTAAATTTACACCTTTGGTTTAAGAAAAATAGAATCCTCTAAAAATATACTCCAATGCCATTTAAAAAGTGTACTATAATTTTGTTGAATGAATAAAATTTTGATTTAGCTGACTTTTCATGAAATAACACTGTGACAGTATTTAGGAGGATATATTTATGCCTATGCACTTTAGGAAACATTGCCATAAATATTTTCTGAATTAGACAATGAGGTAAAGTTAGACTGTATTGGATATTAAATAGACTGTTTTATGTAAGGTTACATTATTGTCCCTGATATATATATTGCTTTTTTTGTCTACAAAATTGTCAAAGTATATTGTTAGGCAATAACTCACAGAACTATTATACCAGAAATGGAAATTAGTATGACTACACAAGAAATAGAATTGTTCCATAAATTTTTGGAAATTAATTTTCAGCTTGATTACTATCCAAAAGTCCAACTTATTCTATAACATGGTGACTCTGAGACAACTAATTAGACTCACAGGTATAAAGGTGGTACAGAGGACTTTGCTTTAAAATCTTAATTGTTGAATTTTTATTTCCTTAAGTTGTTCTGTTACATAGTACCTTTTAAAAATAAAAATAAATAATAGTAATTATTTCAGTTTCACTGTATAAAAGGCTTTAGAATTATTAAAACGGTACTGATGTCAAGCTGGAGTTTCTCTTCTGTTAGTTTTATAAGCTTCTATACATAATGATACGTAAGCACCCTCCTTGTTTATTTCATAAAACTTGGGCTAAGATTATATATAAACAGTAAAAAATTATGTTTTACCAATGTGCCTCTTTTACTGTTGCAGAAACAACATGACAGTGACAGAAGAATTAGGTACACTATTCAGCATTAGTTCCTTCCACCCCACCACATCTAGTGGACTGTACTTTTTTTCCTCTAAATATGTCCCTTCCCAGATGGTCATTCTAAACAAAGATAGCAGATCAGTAGCAACTCTTCAGAGTTTAGCTTTTTACCCTGGTATGTAACTTCATGAAATTTTCTAAGAGGTTACCTATAATATTAGTATATGCATGAAAATTTGTCAATAGAGGGCATTTATGGTGACAGAATGGATAGAGAGAAGACTATTCTGAAAATTCCGATTGCTATAAAATTCAGGAGGACTACTGTCAAGAGAAATAGACACTTTATTTTTGTAATAGATAATTGTTTTTATTCCTGAGATGCCAATATTCTTCCTTATTTCAAGGAATATACATTTAGCATATAAGGTCTTTTCTAAATCCACATGAGGGGAGGGTGGCTAACCACCCTTTATAGACTATAGGGTCACTAGAAAAGTTAATTATTGTCAAATAGAGTTGCAACACTAAGAAAAAAATTAAAAAATCATCCCCCATAAAAGTTTATTAATTCTTATTGTTATAAAATATGATTGCCCTTAAATATGGGTTACGAACTCTTCTCAGGCTTGACAAAAAAATAAACAAAAAACAGAGAAAAACAAAGTACTTAGACATAGAAAGATAGCAATAACAAAATGGGTAAGAATGTTCAAGAATTCTCTGTAAACCATACAGAAGAAAAAGAGAAGTTTTATTTTCAAGGAAACTAAATAAAATTGTTATTATATATAGGAGTTTTTGTTTATTTAATATGGTGCTATTAATTATATATCATCTTTTATATGTAGTAATAATTTGTAAATTTTTCAGCTTTATTCTTTTAAACTTATATAATTATTTATAACAATGCAGCACACGAGCTATAATACATTGTTACCTACTGTTGAATGGTCACGTCTGAGCACTAACATGCCATATTCCAGTTCACTCTGATTGTAAGTCAGTGAATAATATAACTGACTTATAAACTCACATAATATCACACATAATTACACACATTTCATCCCAATATCCCTGAAGTATATGCCAATATTACCATTGGAAGAAGAGACTGGAAAGCTATTGGACCACAGAAATAAAGTTAAGCATTGCCATTCAGATCTCCCCACCACTATACTACGAAAATTTCAAAACAGAAAAGGTGAAAGAGTTTTATAGCAAACATAGGTATACCCACCACCCAGATTGTACCATTAACATTTTACTATACTTTCTCTATCACTTATCTATCCATCTCTTCATCCCTTTATCCATCCATCAATACATCTTAATTTTTATGGATTTCAAAATAATCTCCAGATATTGGCATACTTCCCCCTGAGTACTACAGCATGTATATCACTAGCTAAATTTCAATTTTTGTTTAAAATTCACTTTTTCTTTTGGAGTAAAATTTATGTACGATGAAATCCACAAATCTGAGTGTACCATTCAATGAGTTTGGCACACATCTGTGGCAAACCCTGATCGAGATGAAGAATATTACTGTTTCCCAGGACATTCCCTCAAGCTCACTCCAATAGATCCCTACCCCCTCCCCAGAGTCAATCACTGTTCTGATGTTTCTCTACTACAGATTAGTTTTGCATATTCTTTTGCAAGAATTTAGATAATGCAGCATATCCTTTCTCGTATATAACATTTTTTTCCTAAGTGTAGGGTTTTTGAAATTCATCCGTGTTCTTAAGTGTGGTGTTCAGATTTCAGACAAAAAGTGATATTAATTTCCACTGAATTTGTTTCCCTAAACTGGTCAGTATTTTATTTTGGTATCTTAGAGCGCCTTTGGCAGTCTTCATGAAGTGTTGATTTCATTTCACCATCTTCATGGCTGTCAGTCAGGTTTGCGATGCGGTGCCATCACAGACTGGCACAGAGTATAGGATTCTGTTTCTGATTGCAGAGGCTTCCACTGCACACCAGACTTCCGGCTCCCAAAGTTGACCCCGTTGTTTTCTGGTGGAGGAGACAACAAAGCACAGGGCATTGCTTCCACTCACTCCAGGCAGATTAATTACATCGCATATTTGACCCCTTCGTGGAGTTATCAGTGGTGTCTCACTACTGTCAGCACTTTTCTAGGCAATAGTGTTACTATGCCATTCTAATCAACCAATTCCAGCCACACGGTTTTGGCCCACTAATATAATCTATATGAGATTTTCAGCTTTTGAGATTATTTACATTCTGACAGTGGTGCCCATTTTGATACAAAAGCCATTAAAAATAGCTAATAGTTAGAGTATTTGATGGACCTCCATGCTTCCTACCAACCTTAGGCATCTGATTGTTGTTCAGTTTTAGCATGGCCTCCTCAAAAATTTATAAAAGAAATTTCTGACTTCCCTTTTTCGTAAGGCAGTTTGGTCACTGAGTGAGGCTGTCCCAAGAAACAGGTTTGTGTGCGTGTGTGTGTGTATTTTCAAGCAAAAATAAAGAATATATGGCAAAGACTTGGCACCCATTTCTAGTTCTATTTCTTTAATGAAATAATGTGACTACATCTTATATTTAACACAATCCCTGAGCGGGTGCTGTTTTGAATTCTCTTTGTTTTCTGTTGATTCTCTTGTTTATCCCATAAGGTTTTATCTCATGATAACCATGGATTTTTAAATCCTTACTATTACTTTAAAATAAATTCTTAGTTTAGGATTATATTCTTCTTAAAACTGCCATTTAAATACAGAGATGTTATTACTGATTAGTAAGAATGGGTTCCTTCTGTCAGTATGTTCTGCAAATCCTACCCATTTCATCCACTTACTATTTTAGGAATTATTTTTTTTCAAACTGCATATTATTTATTTATTTTTATTGAAGTAACGTTGATTTATGACACTATTTATAACACTATAAATTTCAGGTGTACATCATTATTTCTTGATTTCTGTGTAGATTACATCACGTTCACCACCCAAAGACTAATTACCATCCATTGCCATATACATGTGCCTAGTCACCTGTTCGCCCCCCTTCCCTTCTGGTAACCAACAATCTCATCTCTGTATTTATGTGTTTGTTTGTCGTTGTTGTTGTTTTTATCTTCTATTTATGAATGAGATCACATGGTATTTGACTTTGTCTGTCTGACTTATCACGCTTAGCATAATGCCTTCAAGGTCCATCCATGTTGTCGCTAATGGATGCACCCTGCGAGGTACCCTGATGGGTACTTAGGTTGTTTCCAAGTCTTGGCTATTGTGAACAATGCTGCAATGAACGTAGGGGTGCATATATCTTTACGCGTTCACGTTTTCACATTCTTTGGATAAGTACCCAGCAGTATAATAGCTGGATTGTATGGTAGTTTTATTCTTTATTTTTTGAGGAATGTCCATAATGTTTTCCATAGCAGTTGCACCAGTTTGCACTCCCACCAGCAGTGTATGAGAGTCCCCTTTTCTCCACATCCTCTCCAAGACTTGTTATTTCTTGTCTTGTTAATTATAGCCATTCTGACAGGCATAAGGTGATATCTCATTGTAGTTTTGATTTGCATTTCTGTAATAATTAGTGATGTTGCACATCTTTTCATGTGCCTGTTCACCATTTGTATACCTTCTTTGGAAAAATGTCTTTTCAGATCTTTTGCCCATTTTTTAATTGGGTTGTTAGTTTTTTGTTGTTGAGTTGTATGAGTTCTTTATATATTTTGGAAATTAATGCCTTATCAGATATATGGTTTGCAAATATCTTCTCCCAATTGTCAAGTTGTCTTTTTGTTTTGTTGATGGTTTCCTTTGCTGTGCAGAACGTTTTTAGTTTGATGTAGTCCCATTTGTTTATTTTTTCTCTTGTTTCCCTTGCCTCATCAGACATGGTACTTGAAAATATGCTGCTAAGACTGATGTTGAAGAGCATACTGCCTATGTTTTCTTCTAGAAGTTTTATGGTTTCAGGTCTTGCATTCAAGTCTTTAGTCCATTTTGAGTTCATTTTTTGTGTATGGTGTAAGATAATGGTCTACTTTCATTCTTTTGCATGTGGCTGTCCAGTTTTCCCAACACCATTTATTGAAGAGACTTTCCTTTCTCCATTGTGTGTTCTTGGCTCCTTTGTTGAAAATTAGCTGTCCATAGATGTGTGGGTTTATTTCTGGGCTTTGAATTCTGTTCCATTGATCTGTGTGTTTTTGTGCCAGTACCATGCTGTTTTGATTACTATAGCTTTGTAGTATATTTTGAAATCAGGGAGTATGACACCTCCAACTTATTCTTTTTTCTCAGGATTCCTTTGGCTATTCCTTTGGCTGTTTTGTTGTTCCATATAGATTTTAGGATTCTTTCTTCTATTTTGGTGAGGAATGTCATTGGAACTTTGATTGGGATTGCATTGAATCTGTAGATTGCTTTAGACAGTATAGACATTTTAACTATGTTAATTCTTCCAATCCAAGAGCAATATCCTTCCATTTCTTTGTGTCTTCTTCAATTTCTTTCAACAATGTTTCATAGCTTTCAGTGTACAGGTCTTTCACCTCTTTGTTTAAATTTATTCCTAGGTATTTTATTCTTTTTGTTGCAATAGTAAATGGTATTGTAATTTCAATTTCTCTTTCTGCTACTTCATTGTTAGTGTATAGAAATGCAACTGATTCTTGTATGTTGATTTTGTATCCTGCAACTTTACCATATTCATTTATTACTTCTAAAAGTTTTTTGGTGGATTCTTTATGGTTTTCT